TACATGCAATATATTTCGCGGTATCGGAGTCAACATTGGCAACAAGTGCAGTGAAAGAAGGTCTGTCATCAGAACCAGGCGCTGGATGGACCACATCGGCACCTTGACAAGCAGAGATTAAGTAGGAGGAATGGCGACAAGGTGAGAAAGAGACTCACCTATGACGATGGTGGGGAAAGCAGGGTCTGTCAACGCTTTAACTGAAGAGGGATCTGGAACTGTATTGATTCCCCCGAGCTTGACGTTGATTCTGATACATAGTTTGGTGACAATGAGGGAGATAGATCAAACCCGAGGAAAAGGAAAACCGCTTACTTCATGCTGACATTGGCCCAATATTGGGGTTTCGCTCGATAACACTTCGAGCTTTTGAGACATTGCGTTGCTACCCCCATCTGTATTTCGTAGCCTATGTCAATATGCTTTGCGAAGTGGCTAGGCTAGTGAAAAACTTACAGTAACATCACCGAAACTGTTGATAACCGCAATGAGTCAATGAGAGAAGAATACTCAAGCAGACAGCCTCACTGTTTTACGGCGGTGTAGATATCATTACCACCTTCAGGGAGGACGACAACAATAAGATTGGGTCCCAACTTTGTTAGCTTGACAACTTCCATTCCTGCGGATTTGAGTTGCTCCTGAATCACGCCTTGTCCATTTGGGAATATTACAGGCGGACGCTGGGTCGAAGTTAATTTGATGCCTGGGATGCTGTTAGTGAGAGTGTACGCGGGAAAAAGTAGAGGGACTTACCAACTTGTCGGAAAGAGGCAGTCAAACCATTTATCAAGTTGTCAACTACGTCCTCGCCAAACCTACTTCGTTTTTCATATACAACAATACACCATCCCTTCACTTCCGCAGGTCGATAGAAACGCTTATCAACCCTAGAAGGTACCCCTTAGAATGATATTTTCAATAAGACAGATGTGGCGGCTTACATATTCCAAGAACCGTCTCTGGGAACCTACACTCGACTTGATATTACCATTGAATAGGACATAGGATCAGTTAACTTACAATAGTTGGTTGCTTGCTTCCCGGCCCATACTTCAAGGTCGGGGGCTTGAGGACCCGAGCATGGACCTTGAGGGGTCCAGAGGTATCGACCCGCATGCCGAATTGGCGGACGTACTCAGATTGACCATAAGCAAGAACCTAAGAAGCATTTAGAATGACCCAATAACCACAATAGTCTCGGAAATCTCACATTAAGTCCGTTGACAATGCTCTTTAACCGATCTGCAGGGCGCTTAGTGGCAAAATCGAGGACGTCTTTGGTCTTCTCAGGAGGGACCTGTTTCCTCATTATCTGACCTGGAGGCACAGTACACAATTCTAGAGGAATCAATGCCCCTGAACCAACCTAGGGATGAATCGTTGAGCTTAACAGTATCAAGTGAATCCAAGGCGATACAAACTTCAACGCAAATGACATCAGGAAATCTAAGTTGTTGATTTTGGCTCTTGTAGAAATAGTCGGCGACGGTCATCGAACCTCCCTCGCCCATATTGAAAGTAAGTGTATTGGCGCCCGCGGAGGTCAGCTTCTTGACGACTCGAGGAGTTTGTGTTACGCTTCCATCAGCGCCGACGTGTTTCGTCAGGACACGAATGCCAGAAATGAAGCGCTGAAGACGCAACCTCTCACGGTCAGGAAAGTTGCGGTTGGGTGCGAGCGAATTGGGATCGCGTTTGTCCAAGAATTCGAGGCATAACGTCAAGAGGGGTCCGGCTTTATACATTGTACCCGTCGATATGTCGACGTTGATAAGCATGCGACCACTGGCAGGCCTCACGGACTGAAAGTACCCGCGCCATAGCTGAAGACCAAGTCCAAGATCTTTGGTTTCGGCATCGGTGAAGAATGATCGAACATTGAATGGGTATTTCATGGT